ATAGGAGATGTCTATGCTAAGAAAAATAATGCTAGTTGCGTTTTTTTTATAATTTTTCATTTTCTAGATATTTAACTTTTCATTAATTTAAGTGGTCCACCGCAAAGGATTATGCATAAATTATGACATCATATCCACTGTTGTGAGAAATTGATAAAAAAGTTGAACTTCAAATTGGCTTATAGTTTATAGCCTGGTAGCTTACATGTACCGGTGACGAACACGCATATAAAATACATGTTGTCATGACAACTAACTGAAAATATTCATTTTTGTGTTTATTGTTCACAATTCATTGATCCAAGTAGGTTATACAGTTTTTTTGTGTATTTCCATTATTATATTTATATACATGAGTAATATGCACACCAAAATTTAAACTAATTTGACTCGGTATCTCTCAATTTTCACAACAGTGAATATGATGTCACACTTTACCCACAACTCTTTGCTGGAGAATCAAGATGGTGGACTACATAATACTGATTAAAAGTTTAATATCAAGAGACTGAAAAGTGATATAATGAAACTGTAAATTTGCTTTCTCCTACATTGTGGAGTTCTTTTTTCTAGAAGCATTATGTTGTTTGCCATGACTTCCCCTCTAACAGCTGTGGAAACCTAAAATCCAGTCTTCAAACACACCTACATTATAACATTTTGCATTGAAAAGGTTAACCAGGATTATGAAAGAAGGTGTGTGCTTCGGAGTATGTGTGTTATAAATTGTAGAAGTTTATGTTGTGGGTCGATGATTTTAAGGTGGCTCATCATTTTGTAGTTAACAACAAAATACCATTTATGCCCTGCTTCATTTTACATTATGAACGGTATAATGCAACTATTTTTTTAATGTGAAATATCTCTGAACATATACCCCCACTACTGCATGTGTACTGAAAGGTGTTGGTTCGTCCAGTCAGTATTGGAGCTCGTTGAGTTGGCAGCGAATGTCTTGGATTGTTCGTTCAGGGCTATTAACATAAACATGCCCGCCATTTTGTCAGTGTCGGAGAACGCCTTTACAAATAGTTTCAGACAACTGTCACCGTCTATTCGTGAAAATGGGTCAACGAAGCCATGCTAGGGGACGATGTACAGTGTTGGCTGGTGAAAATATAATGTATCTTGATCGTTGTCAAGAACTATTCCAAAAATATGGTTTACAAAAAAAGATAAGATTCACTTTTTGTCTATGACAAACCAAAGTGAATTCATAAATTGTTAAAATACATCATCAGTCGTTTTGTGGTAACTCCTATTGCATTAATACACAAATCAACATTGTTATGCAATTTAATACCTGCTCTACAAAAATGTGAGTAAGTTTCTGCCTCAAAGAAACTACACGGTCGTGTACATCACATATACAGATGCATCATTGACAAATGAATAATATAAAACTGTTATAAATCATCTGCTACATATAAAATCGACTTAATGTAAAAATTGTTGAGAAAGTTGGTCATAAATCGCATGGAACCGGGAAATAAGCATTCTTTCGTGTGAAACAGTGACGTATTTTGAGAAATTACATAGAGCACAATGTTAAAGAATTATTGTGTTTTTGCCACTTTTTAAAACCCAGATTTTCGAAATAATTGAGAACACCAAAAAGTACTTCATCGTTTACAGCCTACAGTATAAAATATGACATATCATCTCTGTCTTAGGAACCTCAGGTAAAGGCACTAGAATTTTGACAAGATGGCCACTATCCATAAAAATAATACAATCATAATTTCCTCGAAAATTAAGCTGGTGGCCCCAACTTTTTCAGTCAATATCCTTTATATTGCTCGAAAGTACAATTTATTGGAAAATAAATAAATTCTGTGTAATTGAAATCATGAGTAGGCTTCTACCTTAAACTAAATTGATTAGCTCGTTAAAATCAAGGATAAATTATAGTATGCGATCACGTACACTAGTTTTTGGGTATATTTGTTAATCTATGTATTATTCCTCTTACTGTAAACTATTTACCAAAGCTATATATACTTTCAGATACTTTATTCTTAAAACTTATGACCAGATTTGTTTTTTTTTTTAGTTGGTATTGTTAATCAAAAATGTATAGTCACCGAACTACATGAAGATAAAGTTTGTTGAGCTCGTTGTCATGATGAAAATATTGCATCAATTATGTTCGTGTACGAACAAATCATGTATAATATTGGTGGTTGTCACGCATCATTTTATAGCTCCACCTTATCTATCCGCCTTCATTACTATTTCATTTCCAGTTAGACAAACTCGTTCTTCATCCACTATACGGTTATTTGAACCCCGTTATAAACAAGAGTATTACGGAAAGAGGGCATTTTCGGTTGCTGCACCATAGCTCTAACGCACTTCCCAGATCCTTTTGCCTTGCACCTAATTTGTCTGCTTTTCTCAACTAAAAATGTTATCTTTACCATATAGTGTGTTTTTATCTGGTTTTAATGTAATCTTATTTTTCTGAATAATGTATTTCATAACTAGTTTATGTAAAGCGCATTGATATTATATGTTTTATCTAAATTAAAATTAAATTAAAATGTGTATTATAATAATAATCATTGAAATATTCTAACGAACATTTTAGATAATTTTACGCTACAGGTTTGCTTTAGATGAGATTAATTGTCTGGTAGTAAATGTAAGGAGTTATGTTTTTTGCATTGCACAAAATTGTAATATGCCCACGTTACAATTGTGAAATTTGTTAGATTTGTATTATGTTTCCATCTGTCGGGGATCACGTGAACATTGCTTTCAATGTTAAGAATGCGTATTGTGAGATGCTTCTGGCAATTACTATATTATTATTTCGATAAAAAATGAAAACTGCGTTCTATCGATGTGTAATATTATACTCAATGAAAAGCGGCCCCAACCAATTAATTCTGTGTGGACTAGATATCAACATTACAAGACTCTCATTGTACACTCTACCAATAAATGTTTACTTACGATCTTTGAGATGCATTTATAAGAAAAAGAAGAAAAGTTATTCAAGTTGTTTTAGGTCAATGTGATGGTCATTTGAATTTAACACGTATAGTAGAGAAGATATAACGTATCGACAATCCGAATGTGCACGTACCAAGTGATTTCAGTGAAATTTAGTAATTTTCTCAGATTTTCATTCGGGCGAGCAAGTTTGGTTATCATGATTATGTCGCGTAAAATTTAATCACCCCGAGAAAACCGCACAGAGACTGCTGATATATGTCGACAAAAACATTTCCATATGTCGTACTTACGGCATCGTCATTCGGTCTTCGATTCTATGTGTCCTCTTATATTATCAAATATAAGCAGGTTCTTATACTACCGAAATTCATACACATACATGGTTCTTACTTTTTGTAATAATAATAATTATTAATAATTGGTCGTGTTAGATGACTACTTCTTGAAGCTATTCGTATCATCATAATTAATAATGAAATATGATATTTCCTTATTATTATCTAAAGAAGGTTCTTATACTACCGAAATTCATACACATACAAAGGTTCTTACTTTTTGTAATAATAATTATTTATAATTGGCGGTGTTAGATGAATACTTCTTGAAGCTATTCGTATCATCATAATTAATAATAATAATGAAATATATTTCCTTATCATTATCTAAAGAAGGTTCTTATACTACCGAAATTCATACACATACAAAGGTTCTTACTTTTTGTAATAATAATTATTAATAATTGGTGGTGTTAGATGACTACTTCTTGAAGCTATTCGTATCATCATAATTAATAATGAAATATGATATTTCCTTATTATTATCTAAAGAAGGTTCTTATACTACCGAAATTCATACACATACAAAGGTTCTTACTTTTTGTAATAATAATTATTAATAGTTGGCGGTGTTAGATGATTACTTCTTGAAGCTATTCGTGTCATAATTAATAATAATAATAACAATGAAATATGATATTTCCTTATTATTATCTAAAGAAGGTTCTTATACTACCGAAATTTATACACGATATAAGGGTTATTTTTAGTAATAATAATGAATAATAATTGGTGTTATATGACTACTTCATCATAATTAATTATCAAATAGTGTATTTCATCATTATTATCAGGGGATGGTTATTAGTTTTATTTGTAAATAATGCTTATATAATGTCGATTTTCTCGAGCTATTCAACAAGGCCATTAATCACTTAAGTCCCTGTATGTTATTTTTATTTTGAGAATTTTACACCTCTTTTCCACACTTTGCACTCTATTTTCACACTTTGCACTACTTTTCCACAACTATGCACTTTAGTTTCACACTTTGCAACACTTTTCCTTAACTTTGCCCTTCAGATTCGCACTTTGCACCACTTTTCCACTACTTTGCACTCTATTTTCACACTTTGGCCTCTTTTCACAGAAAGTGTGAATAAAGTGTTTCGAAATAGCTTGATGTACAGGGAACTATCTTTGTGATTAATACGGTAATACATTATCCTATCAAACAAATATATTTGTTGCCAACACACATTTTTATTGTGCGATATATATTATATATTGCTACTATAAGGATACAATTTAATTCAATTGTCTGTTTGATTTACATGGGCATGGTGCTAAATTGAAATTGAAGCATCACATTTATATTATGGAGAGGAGTCTATGATTAATTACAGTTATGTTCAGCCCAGAACTGTAAGGAATGTCATAACTATGAATAATTTAACATTTTCTTTTCAGTGATTGTTGTATGAACTTATGGGCGGTTTGTTTAAGGAATGGTAATCACTAGCTCATGGAATTTTGCATTTTTCTAATTATGTTAACAAGTTTGTTTTTTGCTGTTACAGTTCCTGAAATTAAATGAGAAAGAAAACATGTTTAAATTTTTAGTTTGTCTAGCATGAAAGAAGAGATTGCTTGTACAGTGGCGGCTCTGATAAATAGGAAACATAGCACATTGTGGGCCAGGGCCGCCACAAAATCATACTGAAACACAGCGACTTACATACAGAACAATAACAATTTCTATAATTTATATTACAAGACCCATTTATATAGCATGAATTGGCTAAATGTATCTGATTTCCAGGCAGCATTTAATGATTGTAAGGTACTTACAGATTTGCATAAAATAAAGTCTTGAAATATGAGGCCATAATCACAAGTCAACAGTTTAAGCAGTTTTATTAATAATAACAATTAACATTGGTACATGATGAATGCTCTTACAAAAGGGTAATGAGTACCAAAGGGTGTAATCCAGTTATTGCAGAGGTATTGTACATTGCAGCAACACAATATGATGAGTTTATCATGGCTAGTTTTTATCTACAATAAATTAGTATTATGAGATCTGACCACCAGAACAATCCATTAATATGTTACTGTTATGAAGTCACAATGTTTCCAAGCACCAATGGCTTGTAATCATGCTTACTGATGGCTTTTAATTAACATTAGAATATATATATTCAAATATTCAAAGTAAACATTCAGTTGACTTGATTTAATAGTGTTATAACATTAAACAGCAGCAAATAACTCCCAAAAACTGAAATTTCATGATCTAAATCATTTCATGTGAAAATTATAAAAAAATACATTATATTATGCAATATAAAATGTAGTAATTTCAATTTGTCCGAATACAATAATTATGACTCAAGTGAAATCATCATGTTCGCATACATGTAATTAATTTCCAAACATAGTGTAACTATTACAACCTTGCCCATTCAAGAATAGATATTGCAGTGCGCAGTCCCTGTCAGCCATTTTTGACATAATCACAAAATCATTACACCTGTAACAGACTAAGTATACAAGATTTGAAGAGAATTGATCAAGGTATGCCTGAGATACAGCTTTTAATGCATTCCCCGTTTTTGACTTAATAATGAATACAACATTAGGAAGAATACAAACTAGACTGTTTATCTGGCTGTGATAAAAATCAAATACATGCTATGGTATTTATATTCTAAAAATAATCTTGTGTAACTTTAATATTACATGTACTACATCAAGGGCCCTCATACAAATAAAAACATGAACTGCAAACACTTTCCAAAATAATATTTAGCAATATATCTAATGATATTTAATGAAAACAACATATGGGGTTACTGCATATAAACAAACATTACGTGACCTAAATGTTTTCTGTACGGACTTGTTGAGAGAAGACTTGTGCACAAACATACAAAGCCACACCATCATACTGTACTAGTAGATTATCAATTTCTTCACTCTGGAATTAGATTGCTCTACCACTTGGCTATTCAAATGGCACCATTCTGAATACTCATCTAGATTGTATGCCCTGGAGCAACCTGCAAATAAAAAAAAATGGATTCATTTTTATTGATAATATTTCACAGCAAAGAAACTGTTGATATTTATACTACTGGTACTGAAGAATAAGCTGGAAAAAACGATTAATCTTACCATTCATGTTACTATTTATTACTTACCAGTGTGATTCTTCCAATGAAGATGATCAACATAAAATCTAGTCTTCTGAATGAAACATAGATCTCTATTCAAGAAGTATGTATACAAATTGCAAGCATTGTCATAAATGACAACAGAAGGTGCTGTAATGATAAAATATACATGTTTATAGTAATAACAAGTCATGTCATGACACAGTCTCTGGTATTCAATAGTATACAACTTATATTTCTACTGAGAATCTATAAAATACTGGCTAAAATTTAATATATACATTCCAAGGGACTGAAGATGTGAAAAAAGCCGAAACATAATTCTATACATTGATTTATGTTATTCATATCACACCTCAATGTAAGCCCTCTATGATACAACTAATTAAATTGTGACTGACTGACTGACACATTTTTGTGACAAAAGTATAAGTGCACAATATGGATGCAGTCGAGAAGGTACATTACCATAGAATAACTTTTCTACTACATTTGATAAGCTTGTTAGAAGGCTAATATTTCAAACGAAGAACCAACCAAACATGAGACACTTAATATTCCCTGCAAAAGTGCATTCTACATTGAAGAAAAAGAACCACGGTTAATAAAACATACCCATGCGGAGGGGTGGGGCTCCAATTAATAAATCAATATTACTAAGAAATATATATATATCTGCATATGCTGATTTAATATACTTTTGCTATATAATACAGATGTGGCAACATTGAATCTGGCAAAGTTAAACCGGTCAGAAGAAAGAGGAAAATGAATGTGTCCAGCAAATCTATTTTAAACAATATGCATGTTTCTAGAATTGAGTCAATGACATATTATATAAAATTTAAGTATAGATATATACAAAAAAACAAAAACAAATGACCAATATCTGATTGGGTAAAATAAAAGTTAATAATAGAATAAACTAGCAAATAAAATTTATTACCTTTATATGTTGCAGTAACAAATGGTGGCAGAGCATCAATCAGTAACTTTCTGTCATTATCACATGAACATGTATACATTCAGTGACAAGTTCCAGCCAAATACATCCCTCTTCGATGAACAAAAATGTATTTGTCTATCTACAATAATCAGAATTAAAAGATGATTTAATACAAAAGCAGGTCTATTTGTGTAACATTGTAGTTTTATGAGCACAATTACAATATAATGTCCGAAAACTTTGAACTTAATAATTCTAAGCATGTGTGAGAAAAGGCTAGATATGGTTGGATACACACTCACCCACACCAAGGTCAATTCATAAGTCCTCATTTTTAGACTTTGTTCGAACAGGGAATAATAATTAGTAAAAGCAAATCACTTTCAGTTCCCTTTGTTTGTGGTTATAGTCCACCATTCCAAATACATTGTACTGAATACTGCAGGCAAATACTGTTTTGCGGTTTTTAAGTTTCAATATAAGTTGGCATTGCAGGAGTGATTTCTTCACTGCATATAGGTTCAGGTGAAGATTCTGGTCTGACTCAATAACATCACTGTCTGTTCCAGATTTTGCACCATGTACAAAAGACTAAAAATCAACATAGAATTTATTCTATGACATAAATACATAATATTATAACAATATTTATTTTAAAAAGGGCAATAACTTAGCAAACTCAATTTTCATACAATAATGGCTATCATATTAGCTCTATTATTAGAAGCGCAACTCTAATAGAGGTGAACCTCTACTAAATCATTAAATTATTTCTTATTTTCACCATAAAAATGTAAATGTATAAGATACGGGTCAAACATTGACAAAAATATTTGATAGAATATTGTAAAACCAAAAAATAATTTATAATGTGTATTACCACTAAAAATGTTGTTATTCATGCATGAATATATATTAAAATACAACTAAAAGCCATCGAATCACTATATTCAAGAAGAAAATACTGTGCACATTTCAGCTTATCAGGACTAGAAAGATTTTCCTAAAGTTGTTAGATCTACTACGGTTTGCTGGCAATACAATTTTGAGACAGAAAATTGACAAAATTCACATCTACCTGGTTGCATGGTCGTTTTGCCCTAACTATTCTTGGCAAGTGACTGACATATTCTGCTTCGTCATGAATCTGAAGTTTTGATCTAGAACATTAAACCAGATCACGCCATGCTCTTTTCATATTTCTGTAAGAAAGAAAGATTATATTTATATGGATTCGATCATGGATAACGGCACCTTGAAAGTTGTATCAATGCATCAAGAACCATTTCAAAAAAGTAAACACACCAAAGGGCAGACAGTGACCTTCAGTTAGCAATCATATGAAGAGGTCTCTTTCAATAACAAGGCTTTAAATTGAATTAATAATCATATAATTCCAAGAACCTTATATTGTGTGCACCCCTGTTTTGCCAAAGTAATAAACTTTATTTTTCATGTACCTATCTGTGTTTGTGTCATAAATGGTACTTTAAGAACCTTTTTATTAAAATATGAAATACGACAGTAATATTATTAATATTTTAGAACGCATATGGAACTATTAAATTGATATGTGGGGTTACAACACTAAAATATGATTTAAATTGAATTAATGAGCATATAATTCCAAGAACCTTATATTTGGGACAATATATGGTAACTTAAGAACCTTGGTATTAAAATATGAAATATGACAGTAATATTATTAATATTATAGATTGTGTATATGGAACTATTAATTTGATATGTGGGATCACAAAACTAAAATATGATTTAAATTGAATTAATAAGCATAGAATTCCAAGAACCTTATATTTGGTACAATATATGGTACTTTAAGAACCTTGATATTAAAATATGAAATACGACAGTAATATTATTAATATTATAGACTGTATATAGAACTACGAAATTGATATGAGGAGTTACAAAACTAAAATATTATTTAAATTGAATTAATCAGCATAGAATTCCAAGAACCTTATATTTGGTACAATATATGGTACCTTAAGAACCTTCATTTTGAAATATGAAATATGACAGTAATATTATTAATATTATAGATTGTGTATATGGAACTATTAAATTGATATGTGGGGTTACAAAACTAAAATATTATTTAAATTGAATTAATAAGCATAGAATTCCAAGAACCTTATATTTGATACAATATATGGTACTTTAAGAAGCTTGATATTAAAATATGAAATTAGAGAATAATATTATTAATATTATAGATTGTATATAGATCTACGGAGTTGATATATGATCTTATGAGTAAATATGAATCAATACCAGGCTTTTGATCGCGGAAACATAGAACCTTGATGCGTCAAGAACCTTTTGAAAAAAAACACCAAAGGGCAGTCAGTGACCTTTAGTTGGCAATCATATAAAGAGATATTTCTCTAATGAACGTGATTTACCTGATGGATTTAGTCAGATATTCATCAAAACCTAAATAGCGATGGTAAAAATCACATTACATTGCACTATTTTCATTCTCGCTACGATTCTGGGACGAAAACAGTGAAGTGAGCATGCGTGAGGTGAATTTTGAGCGTGCTAGGCAGCCAGTTCGTAGTGTCAGCCAATCAGAGCGAGGTTCTTATATGCGGTTCTTACC